TGACAAAGCGAGACTGCCGAGTGCCTTGAGCATGGCTCGGGCTTCGCAGCAAAGCCCAAAAGCCTGCTTCAAGCTGAAGGCCTCCAGGCAGAGGCGGCAGAGGCGAGTCTGGTTTCAACTGTCTCCGAAGGCAGTTGCGGCTTCCTTTCGGACTCTTTCGACAGAGGCCTGCAGGGCAGACTCCGTCCTTTCTCAAATTTCAAAACGCTTCTCTGAATTACTGCACAAATGCACAAACCAATCAAACCACAAAGGGATTTGTACAGGGAGCTCGCTGCTCCTCAATCCTCATATGGGCCCTGCAGGGCCGCTGTGTCCTTCAATGCCTTTGCCGCCTGCTCCGGTGCCATGCACTGCAGGCGGAGGATATTGTCAATGACGAGTTGCACATCATGGCTGATGGGACAAGGTGATGGAAGAGTTGTGGCTGGCGCGTCGATGAAGCCTCCCCACCCCATTCCAGCTTGCATGACCATCTGACCAGCGGTCCACTGGTTCCAGTAGGCTGCACTTGGCATCTCTTCCGTACGTGTGGCCATCGCTGTGGGAAGCCCTTGACATTCGGGAACACGGGCTTGGAAGGCACGGTTGTACAGCTCCTCCCCTTCCATACGGTACTTGCGAAGAAGATCCTCTCCGCGATGGACGTCGAAGTCTTCCCAATTGTTCCACTGTCGCCTGGCACTATGGGCAGAGCCAGCCGGGGAAGGGACAATTAGTAGCCGAGAGCATCTCAAGACCGTAGAAGTGCAGCGTGGTGGAGAAACAACTAGTAAATATACACAAACACTAAAATTTCACAAATAGTATAGTGCGTTAGACTGAAACTTGTGAAGGCCTGCCACTGTATTGACTGTGTTGTTGCCTGCGCTCCCAACGGCCCCCATAGTCCCACTCAGCGCGACGGCGGCGGCCACTGCTCGCGTTCGGCATCGTCTCAGAAGCGCTATACTAGCTTGGACGACTAGCCTACCTTTCAGCAACACTGCGCCGACAGGCATGCAGCACAGGTGCCTA